GGGGGGGGGGGGGGGGGGGGGAAGAGGGGAAGCCCTGATCCGTGCTCCCCCCCCAACGGCAGAACCTATATATATATATTTGCAAAGTAATAATAATAATAATTAAAAAGCACCCGGCTGGACCACTTTCCTCCTCCCTCCCCCAGCACTGAGACACACAAGGGAAGGGGCTTAGGAAGGCAACCGGCTGGTTAGGAGAGGGGGGGGGAACTGGGAGAAATTGGGGGGGGGTTCTCCCGCCGCCACTGCCCTCCCACCCCCCCAGGGGGGAGGAGGAAGGGGGAAGGAAGGAGGGGAGAAAAAAAAATCAGGATCGGAATAAAAGAGAGGATCGGAATTATTCTGATGGAAGGATGGACGGGAGGGCGGCGGTGCCCTGGGAAAGTCCCTTGGAGGTGGGGGGAAAATGGGGAGGGGGGAAGACTAGGAAGGGAGGGTCTTCCTTGGGTATGCCAACCATCCCCCCCCCTTCACTCAAATGCAGAAGGGGGTTGTTGGCATCAGATCCGAAACGGGAGAGGGGAGAGGTGGCTGTTGGTTGGGTTACTGTCTGGTGGAACCCCTTTGGTGGTGGTGGGCTTTGGGGTTCCCCTCCATGCATCCCCCCTCCCCAAGAGAGAAACAGACACAACGAAGGGTGTGCAATTCCAAATATGTCTTTATTTTAATTATTACACACAAGGCACTGACTGAGGCAGGGCGGAATGAGCACCAAGCACTATTTGCACCCCCAGATTTGGGCTGTTCCCCCAATCTTGGAGCCGATCCAAGCTGGGTTCCCTCCCCCCCACTGAAGACCTTCTCCTGGAAAGACTCTCCCCTAATTTCCCAAGAAGCATTAGGGGAGCCTCCTGTATCCCCAACATCTCCCTCAATATCCCCGTCCCCAACCTCCAAGAGGTACGAAGTTAAAACAAACCAGGATCAACCTAGCCACCTCTCGCTTAACACAGCTCGGAGACAGCTTGTGCGTGGGTGGGTGGGCTCTCCTGAGGTTGAAGGATTCCGCAAATGAATCCTTCCAACTCAGCCATGTGCAACAGCCTCCTTGTGTTTTCCACCTAAAACCCAACAGAAGACACATACATCCCAAACCTGGTTAGCAGGAGGTTCATTTTTGGGGAGTGGCCATCATTTCTCCTCAAGAAAGTTGACCTCCCTCTCTATTGAAGCTGACCCAACCTCCAACTTGGTTAGCAGGAGGTCCATTTTTGGGGGGTGGCCATCACTTCTTTTCAAGGAAGTTGACCTCCCTCTCTATTGAACTTGACCCAACCTCAAACTTGGTTAGCAGGAGGTCCATTTTTTGTTGGCCATCCCTTCTTCTCAAGAAAGTTCACCTCCCTCTCTTGAAGCTGATTCAACCTCCAACCCAGCTGGGAGCTGCTGGGATACCCCTCCCCCCATCACCCCCCATCATCCCCATATCTTATTTCTGAGATCCTTTTGTGCGATTATCTATCCATCGTCATAGCTGAATCGGAAGGCGACACGAACTCTGGTCACAGATGGGACAGCATGCCACCAGCCACCGCCACCGTCTCCCCAGTGATGTAGCTGGCTTCGGCAGAGCAAAGGAAAGAGACAATGCCCGAACAGTCTGTTGGGTCTCCGAGCCTGGGGGAGAGGAGAAGGGGGACCTGGTTAGTGGTCAGAGGAACTTTAGGAGACCCGAAGATCTGTTGTCTTCATCCAGAACATAGTTTGCGGGTGGAAGCTTAGGGATGTAGGACTGGAGAACATCAAACCAAGAACTATCTTGGTGAATCACTCAAAAGCCCATCCTGGTTCAGAAGGTTGCATCTACTGGTGGTCAACCAGATGTCTACGGTACCTACAAGGAGACAGAGTCCTTCTGCAGTTGACACAATTTTTGGAGGTATCTGCTCCAATTTGCAGGTCACATGTAGTCTATGCTGATGGTCTTCAAATAATCTATCCTTCTGGAGTTCCTTCAATCTTGTGGAGGACAGATTTCTAGAATGCCATCCATCTTCACGTTACCTTCCTATTAACAGCATATTTCCTTCAATCTCCTGAAATCCACAGGTTAGTGAGGTGTTGTTTGAAGAATATACCTTTGGGCCTGTGTGTTATCTCTTGTAAGCTTCACCGGATTGGGGTGGAAAAATAAGAGAAATATCTCCTTCAGCTTCCCCAAGAAATATTTCCTTCAGCGTCTCTTCATGTTCTGCCTGGCTTTTTTTTTTTTTTTTTTGGACTTTCTCCTCTGTTTGTTTTTTTACAAGAATTATAAGCAAACGTCTGAGACTCGGGCTTATGATGACTTGTTACGCTAGCTGTTTGATGCCGCCAGGATTACTCTGGAGTCGGGCAGCACCATAATTGAACTCAATAAACTCGTAATTAAAATAAGCAATGGCTTTGGATGACAAACCAACCAGATGTTTGCTGTATTTACCCAGAAGGCTGAGCATGGTTCCTAGGTAGGAAGGTGTGTGGGGGTGTAGTTTCTATGGTATCATTCTGGACAGGTCCCCTATAGG